GGGGGAGAGACCCCTACTGAAGGAGGAGCAAGTAAACGGTGCCAAAAGGTCTAAGAATAAGCAGTGGCACCACCATGTAGATACGATGAGGATAAACAAGTGGGTGCTCACCCGTGAAAGACGATTATCACCTAAATGAAGGAAATGTGCCCATCAATGAGAAAAGCTCGGACTGAGATATTTTTGGCTCGGGCGCGATTGACGAGATGGGCCTATGAGCGATTCTGGCTGGAGCAATTTTTGGGTCATACTGAATTCATTTCCGTTTTTCATTCCCATTTATTCAATCCATTTTCGGGCAAAGCATGTGGTAATGAAAGGCAAAGATTAGATAAAACCAGCATGAATGACTAAAGGAAGGATAGGCGATACTCCGATTTCTGGACGTTGCCATTTGAAAATGTTCGATTTGGGAGCTTGAGCGTTGCCATGCAGAAAAGAACGTATAATTTCTCTATGCCCTCATTTCATTCCAGCCATAAACTTCGCCATACAACCGAATATCTATTGCCTAAGCGATGGCGGTTTATCCGCCCTCATAAAGTGGTGTAGACACCGAAACGATATAGTCATCCATATTCGGGCACACTACATAATGGTGCATACTGCCACGTAGCCGTGTTCAGCTTCTGGATGGTGTAGCTTGAAAATTTCAATAATCTCTTGATTGCTATGGAGCTTTCAACCAGAAAATCAGAAAATGGGCCAAAATTTCCTTGAGGTGAGGTCAAGTTTTATTGGGAGAATCCTGGATGTATTTCGACCAGACGTGATTCAGATTATCCTTCTTGCCTTCGGGAATCGGTCGAGAAATGCCATGACTCCGTCTGTTGTCACGTTCATCTGTATCACCCGTCGCTTGTCGATCAGTAACGTTTCAATCGTCCCTGTCGCGTTCTGGAGCAGTCCAGTGGATCGTTCTCGCTCGAGGGACGCCAGGCACAACCTTCCTTCCCTTCAGAGCTTTCGTGAAGAGGTCTGACTATAATGCTGGCGGCGATCCTGGTGTTTGCTTGACGTCCCGAGGGATCCACTCCGAAACTGCCTTGGTCCAACGGACATCACAATGTCCCATAATGTATCCGGCTCACCTGATCTCCAATTGTTTGGCGTAAGCAGCGGTGTCCCTGGTCTTCGTTCGTTGACGGAGCTCGGAACTCCGGGTTCCCTTCTGACTTGCGTGTATAGAGGATTCCGAGCTTCGGCCTTTTCACAGCGCGTTGAAGACGCTGACAGCATGTTCACCCTGCTTACTGTCACGTTGCCCACATGCATATACTTACTCTAAAAGCGGGTCTAAGCTTCAGCCCTTGTGTTTTCCCTTTAATTATGGTATTATTCCACATCGAAACTTTATGATAATGAAAGAGATAAAGAGAGCAAAATTTTTTAGCCATTTTTGAACAGTTACATTTATTCTGAGTCTCTTTTGTTACAGTAATTTTTTATTACGGGTCTACAGTTAAGAAAAAGTGATAGGGAATCTATGGATTTTTCGAGTCTAATAAAATGATATTTTCGTCGGGTACTGAGCCGTACCAACAAAATTGGGAGTGCTTGCAGTCAAAGGCCTTAGAGGATCACGGAATTAAAAGAATAAGTGTGTATCGATAATATTGTCTGTTTCTCATGATCTCTGAGTTAATCGTGCAATTGGTATCAATCGGAGATAGGGATATCACTGTAGAAAAAATGGAATCCGGGGGCTGGACGGGGTGTTTTTATGAATGAACACGTACTTTTCTGATCTCTTTTCATAATTTTCCATTTTTATGATGGCATAAAATTCGCGATATTTCCAACATTTCATACTTCACGCTGTTCAGTACCTTTTTCATCTTTTTAAAGGATTCCGATAGATCCTCGCGTGCGGGGCCAACCATAAACACCGTCCCGTCGTAGACTCGAATCTTTAATTTTTATATACGTCTAATTTGATGGTGGAGCTGAAGCGACTTTTGTTGCGCTACGTGATACCTTCATGCATTTTGCCATTTGTGGATGCTTAGCACCTGTTTTCGAAGTGTGGTATGATGATTTGCTACATCGTCAGACGAAGCGAAGAAGATGTAGTTTGAAAGAATGAGCCTTATCGGTTACGCTGACTGACAGTGGCCCTGTGAGAATGTTTAGAAACTTGAGGCTGCCTGAACTCGTTGGAAATCTTTTTCGATGCTTCCTATATGGTCATGCTGCTCAATTCGTGCAAATGTAGCCTGGTGCCAATTGAGAAATGTTTTTAGGCTATGGTAGGTTAGGTATGTAGTGGGGGCACGTGACGTTTGGATGAGACAGTTCGCACATTCGCATACTGTCCTGCTTATTTGACCGATATTTTTTATATCCCACTTTTTTGATTGAATCCCTTTTTTTGAGTTGCGCCACGTTTTGACTGATGCTCTGCATTAGGAAGGGACTCAGGTCCATACAATCATGTTCACAATCAGCCCAGTCTTCGAGTTGTAAAATCACTTCCGTAGACGGGTCTACTACCAAATGAGTAACCTTATGTGGGTGGCTTGGTAGGGAAATTACTGGGCATGCTTCTGAATGGCACTGCCACATGCCACAGCCTGCCTCTTTTCGTTTTCCACTTTTTGTTCTTTTTTCTTTTTCTTCCGCTCTTCTCTCCGTTCCCCTTTCATTTATTTCAACGAAGCGTAAAATTATGAATGAAAAAAGCTAAGTAAGTGGTCTTGAGTTGAAGGTAGTTTTAGTCTATTTGGGAAGCGCCATGCAACCAACTCGCCTTCGGAATGTTTGTTGCTTTGGCACAATACAGGTATTTTGAAGACCGTCGTAACACTCCTTCTTCCTGATGTCTAGTTTATCCTTATAGACCGGACGTCAACTAAGAGCCCTTTGGAACTATGTCTCGATGATTTGGACTTCTTGTAGTACGGAATTAGTTCTTCGCACTTGCCCCCATTGTGACGGCTGTCATTATAGGAAGCACTGAAAGATAGAAAGATGTACTGATCAGAGCAATTATTGGACTAATAACTGAATTTGATAAATAATGGCGAAATCGACTAGTATGGCACGACATAGTTCATCGCACTCGTCCCCATGCGCACTGAAGTAAATTGGCTGATCCTTCAGGGCCTTTTTTATAATATTTCTGTGAGCCGATAGCTTCTTTTAGTTTCTTTCTGAATATAACTTAGTTGGCACAACTAGCCTGAATTCGATCTACTTTTAAGCATTATTACTCAGTTATTATTACTAACATTATTTATTATTCAATGGTGATTTTCAAGAGCTCCGATGATCCCCTCGTCCTGTGCACAATTCATTTTGAGCTTTAACTCAAGCTGATTCATTACTGATTTGACGTTATCGCATATGTTCATCCGATGAGATATAGAGAAGTTTTAAGTGGTAGAGATTTTTTTATTTACCCATTTTTTATTCATTTATTTAACCCACCTGTCGGATCGCCCGGCTAACGCCAGGCTCTCCTCCTTCGAATGGATAAAGTGCGAAGGGCAACAAGCGCCTATTGACCATTATACTTTTAATACAGTAAAGGCCATAGTTATCACTACTGTATATAATATGGCAGTAGGATTCATCTGTTCCTGGCAATACCCATATACAGTGCGTTTCATAATTATAAGGTCACCCTCGATTTTTGCGATTCCGGAGAAAGCAGCCGGAATGGAATTTTTTGGCAAACACT